CATCAGTATATCATCTTTAAATCATTTCTGCATCTCTAACCCTGTTGGCCGATTGCTTCGACCAATTACGTCAAGTATTGAGCTCCAGCGTTTAAACTTTTATTTTTTTAAATGAGCTTCGATTGTGAAGTAAATACAAAAATTTAGTATTCAGTAATTTTAGTATTTTAGTAAGTCATGAAGTATAAAAAGCGCAAACGAAATATTTAGGTCCGCAATTAGCGGATTTGCACTTTATTGGGCTGGTGCCCACCACTGGTGTCATGGTTCATGATTTGGATTATTTTTTGGCACACTTGGACCTCCATATATTTGCACTTCTCATGATTGATGACCCAACCACGCTCACCTGTGCTCTGCAAGATTGAAGCTCCCTCCAGACTTTACACAGGTGACAGATTCTCTGACGCTTTACGCCAATGAAATCCAGCGTTCTTCAAGCCAAGTCATGTCAGGTCTTTGTGATCATGACRCTGTTTCTGTCTTCTGGACCTCTGCTCGTAACTGGTTTCTCCTTTGAACAGGATTTCATGTTATTGACCCTCGCCTGATTTTATGACTCCCCTCTACCTGCTGGATATCTGTACCTGCACACCTGTGGACCCCCACGTTGGACCGTCTCCTCATACAGGCTTGTTTTGTAACTCAGACCGTTTTGGAAAGACCTCTGTCAGAAATCCATCCGGTTCCTGTGATCCTGCACCCAGAGCTGCCATGTCCCTGTTTTAAATAAATACAATTTAAACACTTAAAACTGTGACCAGCACAGAAGTCCAACAACAGGACTGAACCTGAGAGGTGTTTCTCAGGTTCAGCTCAGAGAGGCCGTTCCTTCCAGTCACACCCCTCCACGTGAGCACTGAAGTTCCCCAGCTGGAGAACTGAGGTGTAGAAACCATGTCTTCTGGTTGAAGTGGAAATGCTGTTGCTCAATGAAGAAAGACTCTGAAAACAAGGCTGGTTTGAACAGCAAGAACCTTTATTTTGCAGTTCAGGAGGTTACAGCCTAAAAAAACCAAATTGTGGCCTCCAAGCCAAATGATTCACCAAGTAAGAAAGATGGAGAACGAAGGCYAAGAACAGGGGCGTACAAGGCTCCTTATAGGTTTTCACAGATGTACCATAAATCTTGTCACGGTATACCTTAAACATTCCTTCCCTGATATAGTAATATGTGCCGAGCTCTGAAGCTGGAGAACTAAGAGACATCACATCTGTGCATCCCTGAAAAGAGGCCCCTTACTCTTTGGACACTACAGAACCTTAAACATCTTATTGTTCCATACTTTCCTAACAGAGCACTTCACTCTCAGACTGCAGGTTTACTTGTGGTTCCTGGAGTTTCTAAAAGTAGAATGGGAGGCAGGTTAAAGTTAATGTCGTGTTTTAGYTAGCTGTTGAAACAGATAACAAGGGAACTCAGGAGTTCTTGAAAGATTTTTACAAACAGAACAAGTTGATGAGTTTATTGTTTAAATATTGTTTAAATATAAAAAATCACCAAAACCAGTCCATCTGAACAACAAATACAGAAATAAAATAACACACAATCTTTAAATTCCTGTCAGTGTCAAAAAGACAAGGCATAGACTGAAAAAAGTGTAGGTAGAAGCCTAAGCTTTTTAAACTTTCACTTTTTATTCATACTTTATCAAAATCAAATCAACATCTTTCTTATAGATTTTGTAAAATAAAATTTCCAATGAAATTCTAAACAAATTTGTAACAAAACTCTAGCAGTAGCAAACAATCAGTCATAACTT